CACACCCCAAGGTGCTGCTATTTATTTATTACTTGCAAGGTGCCTGTTTTTATATGGTAGAGTATTCAAAGCAACCATCCCAAACTTTTTCTGAAGTGACAGAGTGCATTCTGCTGCCTCATTCTGTGAGTGTAGACCAGTCCCGGTTCCTCAAAATGAAAGAATATGTAGGCCTTTAGTCCCTCTAGGAATAACATTTTGGCAAGCAATTTTTCCTCAGGTTATTTAAGCCTACCAGTCAGAACAAGGGAGTAACTTCAAACAGTGATAGAGCGTCTAAACCCTTCCCAGGATTCAGTATTGTGTTCTGAAGCAAAGTGTTTCTATGGCTTTAAGTGAGTGAATCAATTGAAATGCATACACTTAAGCTCACAAAAGCAGAATATGAACTTGTTTTGTATGAAGGTGAATAGAAAAACCAAAAACTCTTTTGCTGAAGTTGCTGAAATTCCCAAATAAACAATTTCAAAGTCTTGACAGATCACATTTCATTTCATGAGGAAGAAATATATTATTACAGTATATGATATTTTTCACTGCCTGAAAACAGAGAAAATCAGCATTCAAATTCAGCTCTATTTATTTGCTTTATTATTCATTGACGAAGACCGATTAACGGAATTTAATTTATATTTTTGGTATGGCATTTTAATTTGGTGCAGATAAGCTTCAACAGGGGGACTAATTGAGAAGCCTGGTCTTCTAAGCCATATGGATCCCAGTGGAGTGAGCTTGACTTCATCCAAACACTGATACACCATTAAGGAGGAAACTAAAATAGTTATTGTAGAGCTCCAGAGATTAAAGACTAGAAATATAAAGGTGCAGTCAAGCACAATCTGTTTTGTGCTGGGTACTTTATAGGTGTGAGGGGAAAAAACTATCCATGCTGGCAATTTCTGTAAAACAAAACAAAGCTGCACTTGAAAGAAGAGGTGTTAACATTCAGTTTTGTCTGTGAAGTAGGCATGGCTAACCTGTGGCCCTCCAGCGATTGTTGGACCCTAGTTCCCATCAACTCCAGCCAGCATGGCCAGTGGTCAGGGATGATGAAAACAGGGATCCAACAACATCCATAGATTCCCTACCTCTGTGGAAGTAAGTATATCCATTGGCTGGAAGGAGTGTGGGTGGGTATTTTGATGGTATGCCATGTGAATCATAGAATCATAGAATCATAGAGCTGGAAGAGACCACAAGGGCCATCGAGTCCAACCCCCTGCCAAGCAGGAAACACCATCAGAGCACTCCTGACATATGGTTGTCAAGCCTCTGCTTAAAGACCTCCAAAGAAGGAGACTCCACCACACTCCTTGGCAGCAAATTCCACTGTCAAACAGCTCTTACTGTCAGGAAGTTCTTCCTAATGTTTAGGTGGAATCTTCTTTCTTGTAGTTTGGATCCATTGCTCCGTGTCCGCTTCTCTGGAGCAGCAGAAAACAACCTTTCTCCCTCCTCTATGTGACATCCTTTTATATATTTGAACATGGCTATCATATCACCCCTTAGCCTCCTCTTCTCCAGGCTAAACATGCCAGCTCCCTTAGCCGTTCCTCATAAGGCATCGTTTCCAGGCCTTTGACCATTTTGGTTCCCCTCCTCTGGACACGTTCCAGTTTGTCAGTGTCCTTCTTGAACTGTGGTGCCCAGAACTGGACACAGTACTCCAGGTGAGGTCTGACCAGAGCAGAATACAGTGGCACTATTACTTCCCTTGATCTAGATGCTATACTCCTATTGATGCAGCCCAGAATTCATTGGCTTTTTAGCTGCCCCGTCACACTGTTTGCTCATGTCAAGTTTGTGGTCAACCAAGACTCCTAGATCCTTTTCACATGTACTGCTCTCAAGCCAGGTGTCACCCATCTTGTATTTGTGCCTCTCATTTTTTTGCCCAAGTGCAATACTTTACATTTCTCCCTGTTAAAATTCATCTTGTTTGTTTTGGCCCAGTTCTCTAATCTGTCAAGGTCGTTTTGAAGTGTGATCCTGTCCTCTGGGGTGTTAGCCACCCCTCCCAGTTTGGTGTCATCTGCAAATTTGATCAGGATGCCCTTGAGTCCATCATCCAAGTCGTTGATAAAGATGTTGAATAAGACCGGGCCCAAGACAGAACCCTGTGGCACCCCACTAGTCACTCTTCTCCAGGATGAAGAGGAACCATTGATGAGCACCCTTTGGGTTCGGTCAGTCAGCCAGTTACAAATCCACTGAGTGGTAGCATAGTCAAGACCGCATTTTACCAGCTTCTTTACAAGAATATCATGGGGCACCTTGTCAAATGCCTTGCTGAAATCAAGGTAGGCTACATCCACTGCATTCCCTTCATCTACCAGGCTTGTAATTCTGTCAAAAAACGAGATCAGGTTAGTCTGACATGACTTATTTTTCAGAAATCCATGCTGACTATTCCTTTCTAGGTGCTCACAGACTGTTTGCTTAATGATCTGCTCCAGAATCTTCCCTGGTATTGATGTCAGACTGACTGGGCGGTAATTATTTGGGTCCTCTCTTTTCCCCTTTTTGAAAATAGGGACAACATTTGCCCTCCTCCAGTCTGCCGGGACTTCGCCTGTTCTCCAGGAATTCTCAAAGATGACTGTCAGTGGTTCTGAAATCACATCTGCCAGTTCTTTTAATACTCTTGGATGCAGTTCATCTGGCCCTGGAGACTTGAATACATCTAAACTAGCCAAGTATTCTTGTACTATCTCCTTAGTTATTCTGGGCTGTGTTTCCTCTGCTGAATCATTTGCTCCAAATTCTTCAGGTCAGGCATTGTTTTCTTTATCGGAGAAGACTGAGGCAAAGAAGGCATTGAGGAGTTCAGCCCTTTCTGTGTCCCCTGTTTGCATTTCACCATCTTCACCTCTGAGTGACCCCACTGTTTCTTTGTTCTTCCTTTTGCTACGAACATACCCATAAAAGCCTTTTTTGTTGCTTTTAACCTCTCTAGCATGTGATATTTTCAGATTTCATTGATCCTGTCATTTACTGATTATGCTAATTCTAAAAAATCCTACTCAAGACCTTGGAGAAGCAGGAGTAGAAAGTGCCAGTGAATACAGAAAAATACAAGGCAGAACTTCCAAGACATGGAATATCTCATTTTTGAAAGTGAAATGTCAGCACAGCTGCAGATATTAAAACTCTATAAATGAGAAAAAAATCCACAGGAGACATATCAGGTCAAAAAAGCCGTACAAAACATTAAAATGAGTCATACGTACTTGAACCATTGTTAATTTACTGGATGCAATAGTTGCTTCCAAAAAGAAAATCACAAGCTGATGTATATACGTCATCCTCACAGAGCTAAATGCCAAACTACTTGCATTTCCCCCATAGCAAATAGTGTCCCTGGGTGGTGGTGGTGGGTGCTCAATTCATTCAGGATTGGAAGTGGAGCGGGGGGGGGGGGGATTAATCTTTAGCTGAGACCCTTGTCTCTCATGTTGCAGATCAGAGGCTCATATAAGAAGATGTGTTCCCTGAGACAGTGAGAACCCAAGGCACTTTGAGCTTTAAATAATAAGGTAAAGGTAAAGGTCCAGTCGCGGACGACTCTGGAGTTGTGTGCTCATCTCACTCTATAGGCCGAGGGAGCCAGTGTTTGTCTGCAGACAGCTTCCAGGTCATGTGGCCAGCATGACTAAGCTGCTTCTGGCGAACCAGAGCAACCCATGGAAACATCATTTACATTCCCACTGGAGCGGTACCTATTTATCTATTTGCACTTGACTTGCTTTTGAACTGCTAGGTGGGCAGGAGCTGGGACCGAGCAACGGGAGCTCACCCCATTGTGGGGATTTGAATCACCGACCTTCTTTCTGATCGGCAAGCCCTAGGCTCTGTGGTTTAGACCACAGCGCCACCCACGTCCCTTTTAAATAATAACAACATATCAAATTTGGGCACCAAAACATATAACCAATCTATTTTGGAATAAACTGAACTAGTTTAGGTTTATGAGTCCAGTTCCAAGGCATGACTAGTTCAACCCCTCACTAATTTAGTCCTTAGGTGTTCTCTCAACTAGATATATTTTATTTTGCTTCGGGCAAAGCTTCTAAGAAGCAGAATTCTCAAGAATCCTCGAGAAAGCTGTTTTGCAAAGCACTGCTAATTAGTTCCACAAGATGGTGCTGTGTGACACATTTTACAGCTGATAGGGACAAGCAGCGCATCCATAGTTTTATAAGCACATTGGGTCTAAAATGCTTTCGTGCTTCACAGCTCCCCCCATCCCGCCTCGCCAAATGTTGTGTTAACTTTGTATTCTTTTTTTATTTATGTAAGTGAATTCAGAAGTTAATATTTATCTAACAAGATTAAGATGCTGCCTGGTTATACTAAAAACCCAGAGCAGTTTGTAACTCTCCCAAGGCTACACTCTTCACTTTGTTACACAAATGTTTTTGCCAGCCTGGAATGCTTCCATGAACTCTTGCTTGTCTGAATGGAGAATAGAGAGGGGTGTGTGAGTGTATTTCAAAACTAGCCTATTGTAGAAATGTAATGTTACATTTGCTGCTTCATACACTTTTGACCTTTCAAACCGTATGGAAGGTTGGGGGAGGGGGTGTTTTGCAGTTCCTTGATAAAGACAAATCAGGTTTCATTTTCAGCTTCATTTTATTTATTTATGGCAGGCTTCCTCAAACTCAGCCCTCCAGGTGTTTTGAGACTACAATTCCCATCATCCCTGACCACTCGTCTTGCTAGCTAGGGATCATGGGAGTTGTAGGCCAAAAACATCTGGAGGGCCAAGTTTGAAGAAGCCTGATTTATGGCATTTAACAAGTCACTGTGTATAGGTCTACTCAGAATGAAGTGCCAGGTAAGTGTAAATAGGGTTGCAACCTTAATCCCATATAGATAAGCCTAAAACTGGTGAATTGCTAAGAAATGCAACCAACTAGCAAACGTTGATTCACTACTAAGCAGATAATTAAAGGAATTATCTCCCCCCCTCCTCGAGACAAGTTTCGCAAGTTTCTCTAAATCACACTTTCAATAAGTTTGCGGCCAATTTCTCTTCCTCCTTCGGTAGCCATGGCAGCCTTCCAAATCAGCAGCAAAAGGTTTCCTGTAAAAGAAAGGTTTTATTTATTTATGTGAGGATTTATCTTCCACTTTCCAGTTCAACAAATTGTTAAGTGTGAATTTCTGTTTAATTCTTACATGCTGGTATTTTGAGAGCTAATTTTATTGTGTGCTGTTATATTCTAATAGATTATTGAATATTACATTATTTTGTTTGTTTTAAAGTTATGTTGTTATTATGACTTTTTGTGTTGGATCAGATTGTTATAAGGTGCATGATCTTTGTTGTACATTTTGTTGTTTCGTCAGCTTGTAAACTGCATTGTGTATAGTCAGTGCTTTTTTTCTAAAAATGTTTAGGGGTACTCTCATTTTCCTACTCATATTGAAATACTGCCCCTCAATGAGGCCAAACTTAGATTCACAAAATGTATAGGGGTATGCATACCCCTGCCCCCCCCCAAATGCACTGTGTATAGTTAAGATAGAAAGGTGGCATACAAATTAAAAGTTTAATGAAATGAAATGTTTATGCAGGCACTGAATGGCTTGAAGATACTGGTCCTGGACCATGCTGTTTGTTTGTTTGTTCATCCATAGCACTCAAGTATCTTCCCATCCTATTATATTTTGCTTTTGATCTGAGATGGAAGGCTTTGAGCTATCTATCAGGTAGGATTTTCAGGAACAGGACCTTGCAGATCAGAGTTCAAATCTCTCCACGGCCATGACATTAACTAGGTTAGTCATCGTGTCTCAGCCTAATCTGCTTTACTCACTGAAGGAAAAGCGGATATGAGTGTAAAAATAAAATAAATATAAAAAGCAAAAAGTTGCTTTTTTCTCATTAATGCCACAAGATGGTGCCATGCAACGCCAATTTTATAGCGATCTGAACAGCTGTGTGGAGATGTGGAGCAAAAGACCATTATAAAGCAGAAAAAGCATGCAACCTCAGCTTGGTGAAATGCGTATTTCCCTCTGAAAATGAATCACCTCCTTTACAGGTTTCCCTTCTTCTGTGTCATTTATTTTTGGGAATACAATGAAGTTTATTTTTGGCTTCCAGTCTTGCCTTCCTTAACGGAGGCAGCCCCCACAACAGCGGGGGATTGTTGGCAAATGAAAAACAAGGATAACAGAGGATAAATCATCCTTGCAAATTCCCACCAGGGACAGGGGGAATGGACTTCACTCACAGTTCATCTCAGTACCTGGCTCTTGTTTGGGCATGGGAGGCAGGGAGGCGCTGAGTGCAAAAGCACCTCACCTGGTGAAAACCCTCCTATACCGCCATTAAGAAGCAGAGGTTCACTGTTTAACTAGATCTTTAATTGACTTTAAAGAACCTGCATGTGATGGAAAAGGGTTGCAACAACATCTGCCAGACACTGAAGGCAGGAGGAAGAAACTGCACGCAGAAGAAAAACCGGAGGCAACCCTAGTATTTATGTTACATGAACATATACAACTGCGTGTATATGTGTGGTGCTGGGAAATAAATATTTTGATTCAACCTCAAAAATGGTAAGCGAAAGCTGGAGAGTCTTCATGGCTCATGAGGAGACCCTCCCTGGAGTCTGAAGAGGATGTTGGTGAAGGCAGAGACTGGAGGCGCAGCAGACTTTGTTTGGGCTGCTCAGCCTAACAGCTGATGTGTGGGGTAGTGCAGAAGCAGCTACCACTTTCCTGTGCATCCTCCAGCCTCCTACCGGCCCCAGAGCTTCAATTCTAGTTGTGTACTGTGTGGTTGTCCAAACACCTACCTGTTTTCTCATTGACTCTACTCAGAGCACCAAGTAGAAACAGCACTTTATTCTGCTCAGGTGTGAAGTCTGCAATGAAAGGGGCTTTCTCTCCTTCCAAAAGCATTCTTGGTGGTAAGCCAGTCTGCAAACGATTGGTGGTCTCCTGGTCTGTATGAAAATGTGTGGCTGCAATGAAATCAACAGTAGCCGCCCAGTCCTCCCCAAAATTGCTTTCAGGACCACTAAGGTATGGCAATCTGAAATATGAAGCGAGAAGAGGAAAGTGAGGTAATCAGTTTAAACTCCGTTGTTGTTGTTGTTGTTGTTGTTGTTGTTATACTGTATATTTTGGAAGCTGTTTGTACACTATGCAAGTGGACACCTCTTAAGATATTGTAACCAATTATCATAATGGTTCCTGAGATCAAGGAGTAGGCTTTTGTCCATGTTTGGATACAAGTGGGCATCATTTTGAATCAAGACGCAGGACTTTCAAAACTGCATTGATTTTAACCACTGATTTCAGAACAGCACTGTTGTTGTTTTAGCAGTTCTGAGCAATGCCAGATATGAGGCTGCTGTTATTTGTTAATTTGCTGCTTCATAAAAAAAAATCTCAAACACCACAAAATACAAAAACAGCTAAAATCAATTAAAAACAAGGTAATGAAAAGAAAAACACAATACAGTGGTACCTTGGGTTAAGAACTTAATTCGTTCCGGAGGTCTGTTCTTAACCTGAAACTGTTCTTAACCTGAAGCACCACTTTAGCTAATGGGGCCTCCTGCTGCTGCTGCACTGCCAGAGCACGATTTCTCTTCTCATCCTGAAGCAAAGTTATTAACCTGAAGCACTATTTCTGGGTCAGTGGAGTCTGTAACCTGAAGCGTATGTAACTTGAAGCGCATGTAACCCGAGGTACCACTGTATAGTAAACAAAATTCATTCAGTGCCAATTATTAATGCTAAAGAAAGGACAGATTGTAGCCCACCCCACTAAAATATTCATTCTGCTATCAACAGGTTAAATAGCTTCTAATGTGATCTAAGTAAGAATAGATTATTGGATTTTGATTAATTAATTGCACATTACCAGGAGCTGCATCACTCTTTGACAACACATCGTCCTGTTGGAAGAACTTATTTATTTATTAAGAGACTTTTCTTCCCAAAGAGACACAGAATGCAAAAACGTTCAAGAATACATACACAATCAAACACAAATTAGAAACTTAGGGCAAATATACAGGATAAAATGTAGAACGCAACAGCCAGCAGTCAGTCCTAGGTTGATGCACTCCTCAAGCTATATCCTGAATAAACAGAAATGTTTTAAATTGACCAGTGCTTTTCGTGATGATATTCACAGGTATGGAGTATTGGCACCTGTGGTTCCCCCCACTCCACCCATGGCAGTTATTTTGTGCTGGCACCCACAGCACCTATATCAAAATAAGATTACAGGTATCTTTCCTTCCTTCCAAAACAGCACTGCATATGACTGCTGGGAAACAAAGATTGTTTCTCACACCTGTAAGTGACCCGTGAGTGTACATCATAGGGAACCTGCGAAAAACCTTTTGTACCTCTGGTAGTTTTCTCTTACCGGTTTTTAAACTTTCGCCTTCCATAAGCCAGGCTATGAACGTGAGCGTTCCACATGTAGTTCAGTGCTGCTTCTTGTGCTTCAGGTGCTTCAGAGCTCAGTGCAGTGGATGAGAGATACTAGAAGAGAAGATGCCATATGCACATACGCACACACACACACTCCATTAGGATAATAAAATAATAATAATAAACTTATTATTTATTTATTTATACCACGCCCATCTGGCTGGGTTTCGCCAACCACTCTGGGCGACTCCCAGCAGAATATTAAAAACACAATAAAACATCAAACATTAAAAACTTCCCTAAACAGGGCTGCCCTCAGATGTCTTCTAAAAGTCAGATATTTGTTTATTTCCTTGACATCTGATGGGAGGGCGTTTCACAGGGCAGGCGCCATTATCGAGAAGGCCCTCTTCCTGGTTCCCTGTAACCTCACTTCTTTTTTAAAAAATAATTTTTATTAAGTTTCATATTACCAAATTAAACACATCAAACCAATTAATCCAAATTATAACAATACAAATCATGTAATCCAAATTCTTTTCCAAATTATAAATTTTTGTGGGGGGTACCCATGCTTCTTGATCGGCAGGAGTCCAATCCTTGAATATTTGTTCTGCTTTCATATTAAGAATGATATTTCCAGTCCCTCTTCTCAATCCTTGTCGTTACTCATTTTCCTTTTCATTCACCTCCGAGTTGCTCCACAAGTGGGTTGAAAAAAACAGTCTTATTTGTGTTTCTGTGTGGACTTTGTACTGCTCTCTCGTAAATCACTCTCATCCAATAGTCCAGGCATGTCCCCTCGAGCAAGCAATCGCCATTTTGTCGTTCCGATGAAATACAGTCTAAAAGCTCGCTCTTTAACTTTCCCGACCTGTTGCATCGTAAATTAGTCTTTTTCCTGGAGGGCTGCCCCTTCCAGTTCGCAATCTCAACGAAAATAATAAATCTTCGGCTCGCCCTCCCCAAGACCAAACCTCCTGCAACACAGGTCTCATATCAAATCTCCATTCTTACTGCGTCACAGAGAGAGCCCTTCTTCTTTCCAAATCCTTCACAGAGTAAAATATTTAAGTTCATATTAAGTTCATATTATTCCCACACAGTTCATTTTTAGTCCCATTTGCCAATTAATTGCTGTGATGGATCTTCTAAGAGGGAGGGTTATTAGTTAATCACATAAAGCAAAAGAAATAAAAAGTCACCCCCCCTTTCAGTTCCGTTGCATTCCATTCCACATACCATGTCTGTAGTACTTTGATGTAATCTTCTGTCTCAGTCTTCTTCATTTCAGTGGTAAAATTGTTAGCAGATAAAAACCTCTTGCCTCTCTTGAAGCATGTACGTTATCTTTCACCAATTTTTTTCCTTTTAAGTAACGCAACTAGTTTCGCACCTGGAAGCAGCTTCGGAGGAGTTCCGAGGCCCGCCGAGGGTTGTGCACCCAGTGCCTCACCCCCTCCTTCTTCCGATCTCGGGGGTGATTTACGGCAACAGCGGGTGAAAACTGCATCTCTCCCCCCTGGAGAGATGAGGGAGACTGATTTACTCCCCATAATCAGCCTCTAATTACCTTGTGCGAGCTGGATAGATATTAATATCCGCCATCTTCCAAGGCGCCCCTAGCGGCCCCCCCGTAACCTCACTTCTTGCAGTGAGAGAACCGCTAGAAGGCCCTCGGTGCTGGACCTCAGTGTCCAGGCTGAATGATGGGGGTGGAGACGCTCCGTCAGGTATACTGGGCCGAGGCTGTTTAGGGTTTAAAGGTCAGCACCAACACTTTGAATTGTGCTCAGAAATGTACTGGGAGCCAATGTAGGTCTTTCAGGACCGGTGTTATATGGTCTTGGCAGCCGCTCCCAGTCACCAGTCTAGCTGCCGCATTCTGGATTAGTTGTAGTTTCTGAGTCACCTTCCAAAGTAGCCCCCAAAAAGTGAATGGGGGAGGGGATGGAACAGCATCTATTTTTTCATGCAGAAGGTCCCAGGTCAAATCCCTGGCATCACCAGATGGGGAGGGGATGCCCTGTGTTCAAAATCCTGGTGAACCACGGCCAGTCAATGGCAACAATACTGAGCTAGATGGTCTGACTATAAGGCGGGCTTCCTCAAACTCAGCCCTCCAGATATTTTGAGACTACAATTCCCATCGCCCCTGACCACTGGTCCTGCTAGCTAGGGATCATAGGAGTTGTAGGCCAAAAACATCTGGAGGGCCGAGTTTGAGGAAGCCTGCTATAAGGCATCTTCCTGCATCCTTAATTAAAAACTGATTGGTTTGTTCTGCTACAGATGTGTGTGAACTTTCCCCTTACAGTGGTGCCTCGCAAGACGAAATTAATCCGTTCCGCGAGAGTCTTCGTCTAGCGGTTTTTTCGTCTTGCGAAGCAACCCTATTAGCGGCTTAACGGATTAGCGCTATTAGCGGTTTAGCGGCTATTAAAGGCTTAAAGGCTTAGGGATTAGCTGCTAAAAGGCTATTAAAGGCTATTAAAGGCTTAGCAGATTAGATAAAGGGGGAAAGCGAAAAAACTCTCAAGACTTGCAAGACATTTTCGTCTTGCGAAGCAAGCCCATAGGGAAATTCGTCCTGCGAAGCAACTCAAAAATGGAAAACCCTTTCGTCTAGCGGGTTTTCCGTCTTGCGAGGCATTCGTCTTGCGGGGCACCACTGTATTCAGATTTCTTGGAAATGAAGTTTTTGTTTTTGTTTTTAAAAAGGGAAGTAACTGAAGATTGTAAATCTATCTCTCTTTTCCCAGCCCTTCCAAATCATAGCACTTGCATGACCATATGGAGCTTTTGTTCATAAATACTGTATCATCCTTTACATTGCAATCTTATACCTGCCTCGCTGGCTTCAATAGGATTTACTCCCAGGTATAAGATTGTAGCCATAACTAGAATTCTCATTAGCTGAGCGGCTATTCTAAAATATCATGTCATTGATGGCAGTGCAATACCCACAGAATTGTGTCAGAAATGGATTGTCCCTGTTCCTTCAAAAATCTCCCAGAACATTTCATGTTCTCTTTCTTACTCACACTACAAATCATCCCAACATCTTGCAGTATTTTGCTGGTGGCATTAATTTAGACAGGTTCTGAAACATAATTATTTTCTTTAACCATTTAAAATGTCCTAAATTGTCTAATAAAGTAGGTGAGCAGAGATTATTTTGAAGTGGGAAAACAAGGAAACAATAACCTATTGTTGAAACTGAAAAACAGAAGGCGCTACTTGATTGCTATCTTTAAATATATGGTTCTGGTGCAAAAAAAACCCACCCTACTATCCGTCTTGTCAGAAAAACAGCTACAGTACCTTGAAGAAATCTCTCCAGCCAGCCATGGCTTTTGGTGCCTGGGCATTGCATTCTGCAACACTGTGACAGAAGTCAGCTCTTTGGTCATCCGGTGGTAGTATTTCTACCTTGTCTGCCAAGTCTCCAAAAATGCCACTTTCCAGTGCTCCCAGAAAGGGTACAATTGCTAGGTAGTAATTCATACCTGCAGTAATGGACAGCAGCAATATTGGTTTAGCAGAACATCTGGTGATATGGGAAAACATTCAAATTATTGGAAGTTCTGGTAGATGGAAGGCACACTTCCATGCAGCATCAGGCAAAACTTACATCAATTACACGATTTAACAACTGGGTGAATGGCTTTTTAAAAAGTAAACTAGGCCACCTCAGCTTGCTATTTACATGACTGGGAGTCCCCCCCCCCCCGAAATGCAATTAGCACGTCTCCCAATCTGGATTAGTAGCATAGCAGGCAGCAAAGACATAAAGCACATCTCCTCCCAGGACTGGCCTAGGGCATTTGGCTGCTTTAGACAAAGCAGAAAATGCCATCCCTCACTACCTCCTCTTCCACAGCGCCCCCTGCTGCTGCTACCTCTTCCTCTGCAGCCCCTCTTGCTAAAGTTGGCAGGGGAGTAAAAACGGGCAGTCGTGGTGGGGAGCAGCATGCTTTTCAGAGGCGGGATCTACCGTCTGTGGTGACTGTCTTACGTCACCTCATGGGCTTTGTCTACTCCTGTGCAAGGTTTTCAATCTGAATTGGGTCCTGACTTCTGCAGTATATTTAAAATAAGGAATTCATGCAGCCGCTACTTGTATGAATAGTCTCACATCTAGTTTGGCCTTGAGTCCCAATTTGTTCAATGGTCTAACTCCCAAATATGTGGTTCTGGGATTGCAGCCACAGGATTTCAGAGGCAGGAGGCCTCATTCACCCATGCAGTGCTTTTTTCTGGGGGTACGCAGGGGTACACATACCCCTAAACATTTTGTGAATCTAAGTTTGGCCTCATTGAGGGGCAGTATTTCAATATGAGTAGGAAAATGAGAGTACCCCTAAACATTTTTTTTAGAAAAAAAAAGCACTGGATAAATGTATGGGTAACACAGAGAGAATAAATACTATAAGCAATAAAGGTCCAATCCATGCTCTGCACATTTAGGCCCTACAAATTACTGTGTGGGTAGTACTCTGGTATTATGAAAATCTTCATGGATGAAAATACCTACACGCCCACCAGCTGCGCTCTGATATGTACAGATTATTTCCATCTTTCTTGCCGCATCTTGTGATGTTGGTTGGATCTTCTAGTCTGCCTAGAAGAAAATCAATTACAGTATTACATTACATTTAATGATGTTTACATCCTACCACAAACATTTTAATGACTAGGTGAGTTGTGACGATTGCTATGAGGTAGGCAAAACCACCAGGCTGGAGCCAATTGGCCTGGTGGACAAATTCCTACCCGATCCCAAAAGATGGCAACTGCCACAACAAGGTTTTATATATGTCACCATTTCCCAGTTTGTTGCTCTCCAAGTATTCTTGAACAGCGACTCCAATCATCTCTAACCAGTGGCCATGTTGGCTGAGGCTGATGGGAGTTGGCCCAAAACATATGGAAAGGCTTGCATAAGCCATTGTTACTGTAGCCAGCTGAAAATGAGGGCAGTGTAGAAGAGGGAATTTCATCAGGTGCAGCTTATCAACTGCAGCTGCTGAAATTCCCTGCTCAAGGCAACAGGAGTCATGTCCTCATTTCCACCCAGCCACCATATCGAAAGCCTACACAAAATCAATCATAATAACTTTTAATTTTGCCACACCTAACAGTTCTCTGCAAATACACCTTACATTTCATATCTACTCAGAAATAAGTTTGGCTGAGTTCAGCCGGGTTTAGCCACAGGTAGGTGGTTATAAGACTGCAACTGTAGGCCCACTGTGAAATTTTTGAGATTTTTTGAGCAGGGTGTGTGTAATGACCATAGGAACATTTGCAAGGCAGCAGCAGGAGGCCCCATTAGCTGAAGTGGTGCTTCAGGTTAAGAACAGTTTCAGGTTAAGAACAGACCTCCAGAACGAATTATGTACTTAACCCGAGGTACCACTGTACATGGAAAATATGAGAACAGGCAGTGTTTATTTCTAGTGACACTCAGTGATGCAGAGTACCCCACCCCCCTTTTTAAAGAGCCACATCACATACCCATCACTTTATGCAAGGACTTAGTGGAGCTTGCTACTGAATAAGCATGCGTAGCATTGTACTGTTAATACAGTGGTACCTCGAGTTAAGTACTTAATTTGTTCCAGAGGTCCGTACTTAACCTGAAACTGTTCTTAACCTGAAGCACCACTTTAGCTAATGGGGCCTCCTGCTACCGCCGTGCCCCCGGAGCACAATTTCTGTTCTCATCCTGAAGCAAAGTTCTTTTTTTTTTTTTAAATGATATTTATTGAAAATTTTTAGAATTACAAAAGAGAACAAAGCAGAAAAAGAGAAAGAAAAAACAAAAAAAAAACAAATCACATCAAACAATACAAATTCAAAAAACAAAAATACACCACAAACACTCAAAAACAAATCCATCATTCTCAAATCCTCAACTGTCATTACCTTCTTTCTTTGACCTCCTCCTCCTCCCTTTTTTGTATCCTAGTTGTTAATTGTCGCAGCAAATCCTTTCCATATTTCATAATATTCTGTAATTACATTACCTTAATCTATTTTAATCTTATCTTACTATAAAGAACCTTAAAGCTTAAAACTTAAATCTTGTTTTTACCAACTTCTCATAACCATAATATTCTTACATAATTCTTTAAACATTTTTGCTAAAGCCAAGTAATTTCGTTCCAACATTTTTCTAACATTCATCAATTTTATACAGCAATCCTAATAGTAAAAAAAAAGAAATAAAAACAATCCAATCTTCATCCAGCGTCCCTTCCTCCTGGTCCCGGGTTTTGTCAGTTCTTATTATCCCATCGATCTAGCGCATTAACCTGGTAACCTTGTATCCGAGGCCTTTAAGTCTCTTCCATGTCCCTTCCGCAGCTTTTCTTGATATTTATAACTGTATTTTCCTTTGTCTCCTGCTCCTTTCACTCGTGGGAACTCCAGCTTGACAATGTTTTTGACCCTTCTCGACAAATCAGCCCCTTTTCCATAGTCCACACTAAACTCCATGTGGTATTTAAGAACATATTTCAAAATCCCTCCAAAATTAAGAGCCCCCACAACCCCAAACATCTCACGGCCCATTGCCAGACTTGAAAAGTCCAAACATCCCTGCATAGGGGGGTCTATCCAACCCCCCATTTCCAAACCAAACCAAACCAAACTTTATCTTTCCAAATCTGGCTTTTTCCAAGTTCATTTGTCAAGTCCAAAAGCTCATGTTCCTGCTGGACCACAGCTCCCTTCATCTCTGGCGCCCAAGATTCAGCAACATCCTCTTCCCTCATCTGTTCTGTCAGGGTACACTCCTGATTTAATTCCTGGGTGGGCTCCATATAATTTCCCACTGCCTGTTCAAAATTTCTGATCGCATCAGTCATCAAGTCCGTCTTCTCATGTAGCTGTTCCAGTAGTGCATTTGTTTTACAGAAAGCACGCAACAGAGCTTCTGAATACATTGTCCTGCAAGGTCAGAAGTCTATTCCCACGATTGTAATCTGTGGTACCTTGGGTTTAGAACTTAATTCGTTCCGGAGGTCTGTTCTTAACCTGAAACTGTTCTTAACCTGAAGCACCACTTGAGCTAATGGGGCCTCCTGCTGCTGCTGCGCTGCCAGAGCACGATTTGTGTTCTCATCCTGAAGCAAAGTTCTTAACCTGAAGCACTATTTCTGGGTTAGCGGAGTCTGTAACTTGAAGCATATGTAACCTGAAGCGTATGTAACCCGAGGTACCACTGTACATGTAAGGTGGAAATGGAAAGGAAGTATGTGCTACAGAAAAGATGTATTCCTTGCTTGGGCTGCAGAACAAATTTTGTGGGGAAATTGTTAAGAATTGGGATGATAATAATGAGCAGGAAGTGGGCGGCAGTGCTGTGACTCTGTGATATGAGCAGCCTGCTTTGGTTATGCCTGTAGTTGGAGGATCTTTTTTCAACATTTTCTTTGGCTATCCTCAATAAAGTGAGGTGAGCTAAGCTAATTGGCCCTTTCGTCTGTATATATAGAAGGCACCCACTTCCCTATTGTGTCCATACATACGATGTTTGAGCACTGGACCTCATTTTTTTACAAACAAAAAGCAGTGAGGCTAAGAAGAACGCCATTTTTGCATTGTAGAGCTTAGCAAAAAGCGCTGAAATACATTTTCAAAGTCACAAGTCTCAACCTATTTCTCCTGCCATTTGAACCAAGAAGAGAGAGCACATTCCTAACAGTTTAGATTGTAAGGGAATTTGTTCATACCTGTAGAGTATTGCCAGCCATGCTGTAAGGCCAGTCCCCATAGGATATTTTTGTTCGAAATGTATTGCAAACCATGCTGCTGGGGCAATCTTCCTGGGACATTGTTGTCAGCATCATTTGGTCCAGGAGGAGTGAAAAAGTTAGATGTGGCTTTAAGCAGGATTTTGTATAGTCCTAATCTCTGCGGGTAGCTCCACGGGTTGATTAATATGTTGTTGCCATTTACTGGGTATTCATCTAAATTTCCAGGTGCAGAATGCCATAGCGGAGGAACAGCATCACTGTAGCTTTCTGGCTCTTCAGCTAATTTTTCTGTGAATTCTAGGCTGAGTGAAGAAGTAGCAAAAAGGAAGATGAAGAGATGCCGGAAAAATCTTCTCAGGAAAAGGCACCCCATGCTGGACAAAACCATTCTGTTTCTTGGCTTTAGAATGCATGAAAGTTGTTTTAAAAAGGGAGGAGCAAGTTAGAATGTGAAACGTACACCCTATGTAAATCAGAAATAAGTCACTCCTCCTGCCTCTCCTCTCTGCTTCCTCCTCCCCAATGTGCAGGACAAATATACATATTGCAGGGCATTACAATTTCATCTTGTTCACTTGGATATGTGCTCTGCTTAGCAAAAAAACAACAACTCCAGGAATGGTGGCAACCAGTTTAACCAGTCTGCTATTTAAGTGCAGATAATTGAAGTGCAGATGATTGTTGGAAGTGTATTCACACAACTCGGTTCTGGTTTCTTTTCTTTTTTTCTCTTTTAACAGACTCTTCTCATCTGTAACCCCCAGTTGCTGCCCCCTTATAGTAATTCACCCTGGGTGGGATCCTACCATGGTCCTTGTTCTGCCAGCCCAACCAACCTCTGTAGCCAATCCAGAAGGCCTGAACAGAGAGAGATCTATCCAGACATCTTTGCCACTTCCTGACAGATGAACTCCATATGGACGAAACAAGTTCACATGCTCAAATCTGATCAGGGCTTAATTATAATTATAATTATAATTATAATTATAATTTTATTATTTTTATTATTATTATTATTATTATTATTATTATTATTATTTCTACCCCACCCATCTGATGAATTACCAAGCCACCCTGAGCAAGCACAAAAAGTTAACTTTTTGTGGCCACATCCACCTTCCAAGGGTTCTGAGCTCCCCTCCAATGGCAGTGCTGCAACCACAATGACCAGGCAATGCACACCCTAGGGTGGCTACTGGTCCTTCTAAGAGGCAGTTATCATCCCTTTGTCCCATCAAACATGCATATGGAATCCCTTTATAACTAAAAAGAGGTTATAGTGGTATTATTTATATTCCTATATAACTAATAACAGAACATCCAAATTTATTTAGCACCTGCCCAGTCAACCTCTACCCCCTCTCCTTTGTGTAAATGTGTGGATTCAAAGTATTATGATAGGAAGGAGAATTTAAAAATGAAAAAAGTTTTCCCCTCAGATGTGATTTTTTAAAAAAGTTTGAAGCTGTATTCTTAAACATGCTTTAAAAACAGTTTGTTTTCAGCCCTCAGCCCAAGCCCGCCCACAACCTATGGTTTGTTTGGTGTTAGAGGTGGGTCTTAAGATCCTCAAAATAAAATCTGAACAAAATTGGTGAAGGAGCAAAGAGTTTATTGATTACAAAATGTTCTTGCAAGAGCTGGTGTCCAAAGTAGGCACACCCCAAATTGACAAAGCACAAGCTTATATTCCCTCCCTTGTCTCCCCATTAGCTGGGTGCTACAAGGTTTACAGCCTATCATGACCGCCTAATTACCCAGCTAACATTCCCGCCCCTGTTTACATCTCCCATTACTCTGATTTCGACACCCACCCTTCTTGTTTATCCTATTCCCTATTTGATCTATGTTCCTATGTATTTACATACTGATGCAAGCAACATCCTGACCACTAGTTGTCCCAGTTACAGGTGTAAGCTAGTACTGTACCTGCTGAAGCCTATGAATAAACCATACTCCAGCCCCAAGCTGTCCTACTTATGAGCATCCTAACCACAAGCTGCTCTAACAATGTTGTTGTTGTTGTTGTTTAGTCATTTAGTCGTGTCTGACTCTTCATGACCCCATGGACCATAGCACGCCAGGCACTCCTGTCTTCCACTGCCTCCCGCAGTTTGGTCAGACTCATGCTGGTAGCTTCGAGAACACTGTCCAACCATCTCGTCCTCTGTCGTCCCCTTCTCCTTGTGCCCTCCATCTTTCCCAACATCAGGATCTTTTCCAGGGAGTCTTCTCTTCCCATGAAGTGCCCAAAGTATTGGAGCCTCAGCTTCAGGATCTGTCCTTTCAGTGAGCACTCAGGGCTGATTTCCTTCAGAATGGAGAGGTTTGATCTTCTTGCTGTCCATGGGACTCTCAAGAGTCTCCTCCAACACCATAATTCAAAAGCATCAATTCTTCGGCGATCAGCCGTCTAAGGTTGTCTAGCAATTGCAGGATTGTGGATTATGTGAAAAAGCAACATGATCATTTCTCACATTTGAGATTGCCTTTTTCTAGTTTTTTACTAAACTGTTAGCTTCATCAGTCATCACACATGTATAGAAGATGCTTGCTTAAATTAAAATTCCTGGCTTTTAATGCTGGTGACTGCTAGTTACTACACATGCATGTGTACATCGGCCTAATTTATTTTCCTGACACGTTACTCAAAAGCCCTTTTTAAAATTCTTATTTTCTGGAAAACTAACCAACCTTGGCTCCTCTTTATTAACTGTGTGATTAAAGCCGTGTGGGGAAGTTATTTTGTTTACAGGGTCGTAAAGGAGAATGAAACAGAGACGAGGAAATAATCTCATTTTATACAGTTGCAACCTATTCTGTTTATGCCTTTAAAAATACAGGTGTGCCAACCTATTTTTGCTGTCAGAACTAGAGCTTCTCCAAGCAGTTTATGTGGACAAGACAAAGGAAAATATTTTTCATTGTCATTTTGCCCACAATGTTACTGAGGTAGCAAATAACTTCCCACAGAAAAATCATTCTACATAGGCCTTAGCAGTGAAGGCCTCAGACAAATTCTGTCTCTTCCAGCAGTAGAGATGATAGAGCAATGACCACTAAGAGAAATCATAAAGCTGCCATGCATTTTTAATATCCTAAAACCTATTACATAGTGGACAGAATATTATAATAGAGTAAAAGAGACCTAATGGAAGAAATTACCAATAAAGAAACATCACTAGGTAGAATTAGTGCATGGCTTAGTTCAAGGTGGATCAATGGATTTCATCGTGAGAGTAGGGTTTTAAATGAAATCTTCCTGCTCTCTGGAAAGACTGGCTTGGTGGCATCTAAGGAATTCTCACCCTATCGCCCTCAATGTTGTAAAATACAAAGCCCATTTAAGATAGCTTCCTTATGCAGGAGGGACTCTGTCCCACATTTTATCTTGTGAGTCGCCCTGCGATCTTTAGATTAAGGGCAGTATATAAATCTAATTAATAAAATAATAATAATTTAAACACACCAGATTTCAATCAGTTTTCAACCTAAGTAGGTCCATTAGGTGAAACTAAAACCTACAACACTGGTAGGAGACGTGGACGGTGCTGTGGTCTAAACCACTGAGTCTCTTGGGTTTGCCAATCGGAAGGTCGGTGGTTCGAATCCCCGCAACGGAGTGAGCTCCCATTGCTCTGTCCCAGCTTCTGCCAACCTAGCAGTTCAGAAGCAGACCAGTGCAAGTAGATAAAAAGGTATCACTCCGGCGGGAAGGTAAACAGCGTTTCCATGCACTCTGGTTTCTGTCACAGTGTCCCATTGCACCAGAAGCGATTTAGTCATGCTGGCCACATGACCTGGAAAGCTGTCTGCAGACAAACGCCAGCTCCCTCGGCCTGAAAGTGAGATGAGTGCTGCAACCCCATAGTCACCTTTGACTGGACTTAACCATCCAGGGGTCCTTTACCTTTACCTTTGCCTTTAACTTACATCACTGGCAGTGGTGTTTCTTAATGTCATGTGTGAAAACAGTTCGAAATGAGAGATCTTAGTTCTAAATGATTTCTAGAGCTTTGGCTTTCTAAAATATTTTGAGGTGCATCCCCCTCCTCCGATTCATGGAGTTGACTGGGTACTGGGATTTTAGAGATTGGTGCTAGACCAATGCATCAAGATCTGGGATGGCTGAGAGTTCCTCTTCCTTAAATCGGTTATTGTTGCCAGTCTGATATACTGCAGTTATATTAAGTCCGTTTACATGGATCAGAAGTAGTGCCCAGAAGGAAAATACTAATTAGCTGATGAAATATTAATTCAGAGAGCATTTTGCAAGGTGAGTGCAACAAAATACTCAACTGATGTTTTGTTCCAGTGCTGTAAACACATTTGGGGGATTACTGTGACTACCTTTTGGCTTTTACACCAATACTGCTTTAAGGAGTTCGGGTGAAATGTATGGAAAAGGGATCCAATTTGCTATCCTCACAAGTACAATAGCTTCTCTTTTCTCTTTTTTTACACATGCACACACATTCTGGACTGCTTGGGAAGCAGTTTTTGTGTGAGTGAGTCTAGTTTCCATGGTTACCCTGGTAGCATGTCACTCCATCAACAAGCCCTAACGTCTTAAGGGGGGACGGGCTGCAGGGCTTTCATTTTCTCCCTTATATTATGGAGGAAGAAGAGAGCAGCTGAGAAAAGGGAAGAGTATTCCCCCTTCCACCTTTTGTAGAAAGAGAGCTTCCTGCAATTACATGCTGCTATTCTTCAGTTTTACCTTCAGTTTGTTTATTTTTAAAGGAATGAACAGGGTACCCTCAAAAAGGCACAGAAGATTAATTCATTCCTGAATCTGTGATATGTTAATTTAATTTATTTCCATGCTTTGTTTTTACTGACAGTCTTTTTCAAGGTAGCTCTAAGCTATTCACATGCAATTTTATTATGTGCTGTACAACATTTCCCTGATTTTCATTGCAAGCTGCTTCAAAACTGAAATGAAATTAGATAACAGCTTTTAAATCAATCAATTAATTGATACACTCCTCTGCTTCATACAGAATTATACTGATGGTCAACCCCATTTAATCATGGCCAGAATCAAGCATGAGAACAACTGCTTCACCCCCACCCTACAAACACCCTCACTAGTATTAATATTGCCTGGAACATTTCCTGTGCAAGTCCCATTTGAATGAATGGGAAGACATATCTTGCTGAAGCTAAACCGGTCTGGGTCTGGTCAGTGCATTGATGGCTGACTGCCAGGAAGTCACACAGACACCACCTTGAGCTCCATAATCAAAGAAAGACAGGATATAAAAGTAAGAAAATTAAAATTAACATGCTTAAATCTGTCAAGCATGAAACTCACCGAAACAGAAATAATTAGCCCATCTTTACAGATTCTGGGAATAATATACAAAGAGCCCAAATCTTTAGTGA